CCCCTCAGATCTATTTAAAGATGAGCGGCAGCAGTTCTCATTGTAATGCTGTAAGGTTGATGAGTTGAGGCAGTTTTAATGAGATATTGGCTAATTACTGCCTTCTATTTCCAAAGGGTTTCTTAAGGGTGGGGGTGAGCAGGTCAGGTCCACTCACTGTGGGGGGTAATGGGGCCTTGCGGGGGCCAATGTAACAGCCACGTGATGCCTGGAACAGAGGCAGTGGGAAAACAGGGTGTGATGTTCCTCCTGCCCCCCCCACTCTCCCCCAGGCGCACCATGACGGAGATCGTGTGCTACTCCGCCCCCTCGCTGACGGGCGTGGGCCCCGTGCAGATCAGCGTGAGCGTGGACCGCGCCCACATCAGGGAGAGCCTGACGTTCGAGTACATCGACGACCCCACCGTGCAGCGCGTCGAGCCTGAGTGGAGCATCGCCAGGTCGGTCCCCCCGCCCAGCACACCAGTTATCAGATTGCCTAACCCAGTCCCAGTCTCTGGTAGTCAGGGCAAGACTTTCAGCGGCCCGGACACTAGGGGGAGCCCATGAATGTGTGAGCATGGTTTATGGTAATTTTGGTTTAGAGACTGGGGGGGTATGATTTTTCAAAGTTCACCATATAATTTCCAAAAACGTTTCTGGATTTCGCTCCATGCTGATTCAGCATCTCCACACCTTTCCCGCATGTTTACAGTACCTGCGGTTCCTCCTCACCCCCAAGGTTCCCTACCTCTCAAAGCCGTCACTAAGTGTAATACGATGTGACAGATACTCCACTCAGAAAAGGCCCAAAAACCTGAACAAAGAGCCAGAATTCCTGAATATAGGAAGTTCCCCACAGTTGCTTTTGGGAATTGCATGCTTAAAATGTTCAGTATTTATTTAAAAATAAAAATGGCCATGTAGTTTAAAGAAAAAAAATACATAAGCATTATTTTACAATTGCCCGTTTTAAACTGGCATGATTTGTGAACACCCTGTACTGTCTATAGAAGCTCTGCACTGTAAGCTCATCACCACCTGTTCCCAACAAGGCACCTCAGAGTGTCACGACCTGAGCGTGTGCGGTGAGCCTCTGTACAGCCCGGGGAATTAAATATGACAACTTTCATTCGCTGAAGTTTTCAGCATCCTTTGCTAAGCAGAGGATTATACCCCCTGATAGCTCAAATGCTCTGGGTAGTTGTGATTGGCTGGAAGAGCTGTCTGTCTTTTCTATCCTGCATTTGATTGGTGGAGGAGTAAGCCACACTTCTCTGAACCAGAGAAGTGGTGATTGGTGGTGATGGTGGTAGTGCTGAGGGGAGGGGACCCCACACTGTTCCCTTAACTGTGCCTGTTGATCCTCCATGGCAACCAGTCCAAATCTACGATTTTTAATGGTGGGGAGCATAAGAGGAACTGTAATTCATATAATGGGGTCAACCTTATCATCAGCCAATGATGTCCTTTGAATTGGAATTTGACAGCGGAGTGGGCCATTCAGCTTTCAGTTCTGCCCCTGTGGCCCCGCCCCTGGAAAACATCGGCTTATAAAAGCCCTAGTCCTTCGCGTTGCTCTCCGTCGACTTGTTTGCGGCAGATGATATCGAGCTAGAGACTCGCTCTGAATGCTGATGGGCCGCCACAAGGAGTATGCAAGGGAGCGCGTGCAGGAGCGAGGGAGCGTTTCAAAGCAGCCACGGCTCTCTGAGTGGCGGCCGGTCGAGCCGCTTAAAAGCGCCTTTAATCATTACCTTCTCAAAAGCCCTTTACCGCGCCTCCCTCAAGGTCGCCTCCACCCACGCTTCACGCGCTTTTTCATACACTGCGTTTTCCTCTGTTCCTCCCCCCCCCCCACAGCGTTGTTCTTAACCCCTCCTCCACCCACCTTGTGTCTCTCCCACAGTGGACACACCCCCCTGACTGTGACGGGAACCAACCTGGATGTGGTGCAGGAGCCGCGGATCAGGGTCAAGTACGGCGGCCGCGAGTCCGTCAACGTGAGTACGGGAGAGTCGATTGGAGGAGCGCTTTATACGCGGTGGATCTAACCCAATCAGGATCTAATGCGTGTGGCCGGTCTAACGTGGGGGCAGTGTGTGGCTCAGCAAGTTAGACCCGTTTGCTTGTCACCAGAAGGTCACCAATTGGAATCCCATCCAGATAAATGACCTGACCCTGTGCTCAGACCCCAAGCTCGCTGTCATAAGGTGGGATGTACCAAAAAAGCCTTTGAAACGTATCTGTGCTTGTGCAAATGGGGAATAAAGCATCGTTTCATCGATGACCAGACATGAGAGTCGTGTAAGTCTCTCATCACAGATGCACTGGATGGTGGCCCCCAGCTGGCTTCAGTTTTTTGAGTCCCCTCCCCCCCAAGCTGGTTAAGGACTGCTCCCTCCAAGGAGATCAGCTTGAAGCATTGACATCCGTTCTGCAGGATTATAGTGTCTTTGGGTTTTTAGCAGTAACAGCGGATGGGACCCACTGGATCGATCGCACGTCCATCGGGGAGGCTTCAGGAGATCCCGGGTGCTTGGACTGGGGATGAAGATGGGAAATAAATGTCAGGCCATGCTAGAGCAAACATATGATGGCAGCAGTGTGTTGGGTTAAGGCCCCACACCTGCATGCTGAATGGCAGCCCCCCCCCACTCTCCCCACAGGAGACCTGATGTCATTTCCTTTAAAGCCAAACACCTCAGCTTGTGAAGTTTTATCGAAATCGCTTACTGTGACCAAGTCACGGTCACTGCAGTCCCCCCCCCCCAGGGCATCTTGTTATTATTATGGCTCTCATTCCAGATTAGAAGCCGCCATATTGGACCTCTAATGGAATTCTGGGTGGGGACAGCGGGCCGGATCCTTAATGGGTTTTAATGGAAGATTAACTTTTGTCAGGAGCTGGAGTCAGCATAAAGCAGCACGGCCTTATCGGGACGCGGGGCACCAGGAAATCGTTACAGATTGGATTTTCTCCCCAGTTCTAGAGGGAGGTGGGTCTCCGTTTAATTAAGGGAATGTAATTTTTTCCTTCCTGGTCTGGGCACAGGGCAGACTGGGGGGGAGGTGGGGGGGGGTAGGGAAATGGGGGGTCCCTGGGGATCCGGCGGCTGAGGGTAACAGAGCTGCGTAAGCAGTGCATGCTGAGAGGCGCAGGGTCACACACACACACACACACTCACACACAGACACACACACACTCACACGCACACACAGACACACAGACACACACACTCACACACAGACACACAGACACAGACATACACACACACACACACACACTCACACAGACACACACACACACAGACACACACACTCACACGCACACACACACACACTCACACACACACAGACACACACACACACACCATCCCTCCTGCTGCTCCTCATTTTAAATGGTTAGCCTTCCCAGGTCCCCACCTGGCTCCGGTCGCTCCGGAACAGTTTATGCCGTTTATTCTCGTGGAACAGGACGGCACTTTTAAAACCCATTTGTTCCGACTTTCATCTCACGCATTTATGGCACTCCATAGTGGGTCAGAGCGATCGTGGAGGCGCGGGGTGGCTTTGTGACATCATAATGGAGCCCAGGGCCCCCCCCCCTGTTAAAAATGGCTGCCATTCCCCCGGATGGCTCCGTGTAAACCCTTATTATCTGGGAGGCGGGCAGCAGGTACGGATCTCTTCATTCCCGCTCCCTTTGTCAGCGGGGGAGTGATGAGTGGTGGTACGAAGCGGCAATGGCGGGGGGGGGGGGGGGGGGGGGCGCTGTCAAGGCGGCCTCTGAACTGTCACTTGACTCTCCCGAAATTGCCCCCCCCAACCCCCACCTGCCCTGACTCACAATGGTCCCCATCCCTGATACGAGCCCTTTCCACACTGTCACAGCTCACAATGAGGCCTTAATCGCAATCCTCATTACCGTATCCACCATTTGAAAAGAAGACTTTTCTTTCTCTTACCTTCCCCCCCCCACCCTGGAGTCTGGGGGGGTGGCGTGGGGGGCATATCCTGCCACATTTTCCGGAGCCCCGGCACAGCAGTGTTGAGAGACAGTCTGTTGTTTGTAATCCATCAGATGCGACTCAGGGAGATGCATGCACCCCCCAGCACACAGGTTCAATGCAATCTATATATATATAGTATATATGGTGGTCATGGTTTATTTACAGCCTCCACCTCTTGGGGGGGGAACAGAGCGTGGCGGGCTACTTCTCCGTACTGTAGTGCTACATTAATGATTAACATGATTTGAAAGTTTAATAAGCCCCTCACCCCAATTTGTCCCGCTAAGAGATGGGGCACTTCACCTGAAACCTGAGCTGAGGGTAGGGGCGGAGTTCCTAGCAGCCTTGCTGGCCTTCAAACCCACTAAACTGTGGGGGGGGGTGGGTTAATTTTTAATAATGTTTAGTCTTTTCTTGGCCCCCTCCTTTTCCCACCTGAGCTGGGCTAGGCTGCTTTTCCGGCACTGCATGTAAAGGGAAGCTTGATTGCTTTGGCCTGCGCTGTCCACGTGGGCATTTTTACCCAGCATTCCCTTCTCGCCTCTTCTCTCCCGGCCGGGAGCAAGTGGGCTTCGTGTCCTCTGACGTCACCCCGGAAAGCGGAAAGAACGGCTCCGGGAAGGAACAGATGGCGACGCGGGTCGCGGCGAGTTCCGGGTGGCGCCGGCGAGAGGAGCAGGTAGAGCGCTGGGCTCTGGCAGCCGCCCCTTCGCCTTCTATCGTCACGCCGCATCGAGGAAGGAAGGCGGAGCTAGTTGGAGTGACGCACTTCGGGAATATGCAGCGCATAAGGAAGCCGGAAGAAGAACGAAAGCAAAACTATTGCGAAGGCTGTATTCCATCTGTCAGTGCGGCATTTGCTGGGCCACACATACGAGCTGTGGAATTATGGGATAGATACTGAGAAGGGGTGCCATCACATCTGTATAGATCAAATTATCATTTTATGCTGTCTTTCTTTCCTCACAACTTTCGCCTGTAGTTTTAATATCGAGCGGCGAGTCTCAGCAACCCCCCCCCTCCCCCCCATACTGGAAACATGGGGCTGCCCAACATGAGGAATATCAGGATCGTCTTCGCCACCCTCCTGGGATCGTTCTCGGAGTGCCGTGGGGCTGCCAGCCCGAGGAACTCGCATGTCTCTATCAAGCCTCTGAAGGGTTCGGCCATTTTTTATCCCTCTCTCAGAACCGGCACGCCTTAGGGAAAAGCAAAACAAAAACAGCGGCCCGCGGGCCCTGCCGCGCTGACGCCTCGACCGGCTTCTCCCGGTTCTGGGACCTTGATGCCTTGCCAGAGGGCTTTGACTTCGGCTTGGGGGCGAGTGTCTATGGAGCCCTAAGAATACTTAATCATGGCGCCCCCTGCTGGAGTGGAGAGGGTGGAGAAAAACACATAAAAAGTCCAGGCACCAAACAGCAATGGATCTCATCTTTTCATTGCCACTGCCACCTTACCCCACCCAGGACCATCCATACATTTTTTTTATTCCGAAATCCAGGACAGGGCTGAGCAGGTTGTCAGGGTGAATGCTATGGGATGCCGACTTCGGCCAATCAGCAGAGATCCCCATCTCTCCTGGTTGTTCTTTACCTGATGGGGGCGTTTAAGGTGTTTTGATCTCTGCCGGATAACAGTCTGTGTTACATAAGTCACGCATGATCTCTTCCTCTTTGCTCCATCCTCCAATGTCGCCCCCCTCTGGACAGGTGTGCAAGGTACTGAATGCCACCAGCATGAGTTGTTGGGCACCCTCGCTGGTGGCTGAGTCCCCACCCGGACTGGACACCGTGCGGCACGCAGACGAGTTCGGCTTCATCTTCAACAACGTGCAGGCGCTGCTCGTGTACAACAACACCAACTTCCTGTATTACTCCAACCCGTACTTTGAACCGCTCAGTGCGTCCGGCGCGCTGGAGCAGAAGTCCGGCTCCCCCATCATCCTCAAGGTATGCCTCCCCCCTTGATGCAGAGCATGCTGGGAATGCAGACAGCTCAGCTTACTGCAGGTTGATGCCAGGGGTTACAATAGGTCACTAGTATAATGATCTACTGTGTCAATAGGACAGTGTCCAGCAGTAGGTTTACAGGAAGTAACAAGAAATGGGCGACAAAGACACCTCCGCCCCCCCCCCCAACCCCACTCATTCCAGGAATTTTGTCTCCTACAGGGAAAAAACCTGGTGCCCCCAGCCTCAGGTGGGGTCAAGCTGAACTACACGGTGCTGATCGGCGAGACGCCCTGTTCCATCACCGTGTCCGAGACGCAGCTGCTCTGTGAGCTACCAAACCTCACTGGGCAGCACAAAGTCCTGGTAAGTCAGCTGCCCCCACAAAGGCACGCGCGCGTGTTCGCGTGTGACCCAGCGTGACATGCGTGTTCATGCGTGGTACCCAGGTCCAGGTGGGTGGCCTGCACGTCTCCCCCGGCTCCGTGAACATCCTGTCGGACAGCCTGCTCACCATGTCCGCCATCGCCAGTATCGCGGCCGGCGGCGGCCTCCTGCTGATCATCGTCATCCTCGTCCTCATCGCCTACAAGCGCAAGTCCCGTGAGAACGACCTCACCCTCAAGCGACTGCAGATGCAGATGGACAACCTGGAGTCCCGCGTGGCCCTCGAATGCAAGGAAGGTCAGTTCTCCCCCCTGGAGGATTGTGGGTAGAACAAAGCCTTCATTTCAAGCCTTTTTGTTGAGCGTATCCTTACACTTCTGGGCCTTTCGCGACACCTTTAGCCGACAGTTTTGCGAGCAAACAACATGATAAATGTTGTACGCATCACTCATACTTAGCACAAAGAGCTGGGGACAGTATGGTGGCTCAGCAGGTAGCACCGTGGCCTCACACCCCCACGATTGTGGATCCGGCTCCTGACTCCAACTCCGCATGCAGAGTTTGCATGTTCTCACAGTGTTTGCATGGATTTCATCCAGCAACTCCAGTTTCCACCTGCAATCCAAAAACATTTGGTTAAGCTTGTGCTTGGCACAGACGTGTATAAAGGGGCGGAGCCCCGGGGGGCATTGACCCCAGCTGATTCAAGGGGCATTGACCCCTTTCTCTCACTGATTCAAAACATATCATTAGTTAATTCATATAAAATATGAATTGTGGCCCCTCTTATGTCTTCCACCTTAAACAGTCTTACAGTTGCCCTTGGCATTGCCCCAAGGAGGCAGCCGTAGGATAATGAATAAATGTCCAGGCGGGAGTGTGGCATTTGCTTCTCGTGGAGCTGTTTGAAAACGCAGCGTGAGCAGAAACTGCGAGCGCTCTTACGGTCTGCTGAACGGCCCCGTGACGCGTACGCTAATGACGTCTGCAGAGAAAGTGCGCAGCCCCCACGGGGTGCGACGGCAAACGGCGGCTCATGTGGCGCTATTCTGCCGTGCCTTCACCGTACGGACCTCTGGCTTGGCCCTGTTCCCCTGCTCCATCGAGCCAACACCGATCTAATAGGCCTGCATTTATTGTGCTTCTCCATCCTGAATGCAAATCGTGCCTTTTTCACATCCGGATAAACACGGCGGCCCCGGTCGCTGGCTCGTGCCATACCGCCCATCTGCATTCCCATTATGGTGGCCGTCCGCACCGACCCAGCTAACGTAGCATCGCTGGCGTGGATAATGGCGGCGTGTGGCATCTTTGCAGCTCCCAGGTGCGGCGGATCACGGCGTGGAGCAGGCACAGCGGCGGGCGTGAGCCACGCAGACCCACGCCAGCGGGGGGGACGGCATGAGCAGCGGGAGAAAGGAAATAGAGCCAAGAGAGGCAGTCTGGCGTCGTCACGGAGATTAAAAAGAGAAGGGGGGGCAGACTGTTTAGAGCAGCCATGAGGGCTTTTTGTCCCCCCCCCCCCCCCCGATTCCTCACACGGCAGCCGACTCCGTCCGAGCGGATCTGGGCTGGAGCGTGGGGTTGCCCTGACAACGGACGAGCATCGGCTCAGCTGGCAGTAATTCCATCTGACTCCTTCAGAATACAGCCGGAGCTCATCGTGCAGGAATAAACAGAGGCCGGGCCCCAGTCTGGGCACCGGGGGGGGGGGGCAGGGAGCAGTCCTTGCAGGCGATCGGACCCCCATGGGAAGGAGGGGGTGTTTAAAATGCGGTGCAGGAAAGCCAGATTCAAGTATCTGTGGTGTCTTCCCAGGCTGGGATTATTCTCGGCGTGAGGGGTGGGGGAGCATATATTTTTGGGGCCCTTCTAAAGGGTTTGGCCCCCTGAATCTTCCAGGGTATCCATGCACCTCCAACACCACTGGTGATGGATTACAGTTCTGACAGTGAGTGTGAAGTGAGAGGACGGCAAACGCGTGTGAGGATGGCTTCACTGTGCACAGTAAAGTCAGTCTGTTCTGCTATGGTGCCCTGTGCTCTTTCCAAACTCGGAATTAGCTCTCTGCATGGTTATTCTGCACTCAGAGAAGGCTGGCAGGTTCCCACGGCGATCAGAGGAGCAGCTGGCGGCTACCCGTGCTCCCTGCCCGTGACATTACGACTCCTCCCGTGCTCTCTGCCCCTCATATCACGATTCCTCCCCGTGCTCCCTGCCCCTCATATCACGATTCCTCCCCGTGCTCTCTGCCCCTGATATCACGATTCCTCCCCGTGCTCTCTGCCCCTCATATCACGATTCCTCCCTGTGCTCTCTGCCCGTGACATCATGACTCCTCCCCGTGCTCCCTGCCCGTGATATCACGATTCCTCCCCATGCTCCCCGCTAGGGGTGAAAATTTTCAGAGGAGGAAACATTCCATGGGTACTTATGGGACTTATTGAGGAATTTATTTGTGCAGCTGTCAAACATAAAAAACTAAGGCTACTAATAAAAAAGATTTAAAAATGACATTCAGATTAAACTTAACACTTGATGGAACACAAACACATGGCGTGAGGCTTGATCATGAAAAGCAGAGTCTGCTCAGTGTGGAGAATCATACAGTCATAAAGGCCCAATCGGACAGTCAGGATCTGTACCTCGAGGTCACTGTCCACTTACCATCTCGTACCTCCCCACCACGCCCAGCGTTCGCCGAGCTACAGACGGACATCAACGAGCTGACCAGCGACCTGGACCGCGCCGGCATCCCCTACCTCGACTACCGCACCTACGCCATGCGGGTGCTGTTCCCCGGGATCGAGGACCACCCAGTGCTGCGTGAGCTGGAGGTAGGGTGGGCTTACACCGGGGGCCATGCTGCTGGCAGGGCCGCGTTTGCGTCACTCGTCTGCAGCTAGCCTGCTAAAACTGGCACGATGCCTCCAGGCAAACAGGAATCAGGTAGCCATGCGATAGCGGTGCCCTTTGGCCCCAGGGGATGGAGCCTTCATGTGTAAGAGTGAGCACCGTGGCGAGCATGACGCAATGCCAGACCGTCCGCGGCCCTGTGTGTTCGTTAGGGTGGGGTGAAAAAATTGATGTGTGCATTGATGTGACAGGTGAAAACTGTCACAGCTGAAAACGGAACCTGAAAATATTAACCTATTTCAAAGATGTTTTGCACGTTTAATGACGAGGCCCAGTGACACCTTTTCCGCACTATTGGAAATCGCTATTGGAAATTTTTATTTTTTTCACCCCACCCTAATGTTCGTACTTCCAGCACCTGATCGTCTGTTTTGTTTGTTTATTTTGCTTGCGTGGTTTTTGTTGTTTATTAATTTAGTAATTTACTTTTTTTAGCATTCCAATACCAGTGTCTCAATATTCTAAAAGTTCATTGCACTTTGAAATAGTCTACTTGCATTATTCTGCTATTATGTTATCATTATATAAGTGGCATGATCTTAAAATGACAATGATATTGTTTATCATAATTATTTCTGGGGTAATGTGTCTTTCAAGAGCAGTGCTTATCATGATCAACCTACTTGACCAATAGTTGCTCCAGGAACTAACCCTGATTTTCAATTGTACATCACCTGGGATAAGAGTTTCTACTGAATAAATTAAATGTTAATAAATGTTCATGTCTTTTCCAATATTAATGCTGTATCAAACGGGCGTAGCTGTTACTGACACAACACAGATCAGGATGGCAGTAATGTCGAGTCAGAATGCAGAAGATGGAGGAGCGGAAACCTCGTCATTGGATAGGATGGCTTGTTCACAGAAAAGTAAAACACAGGCATGTTGTGTTGGTTTTGGTGCATCAGCAGCCCGACAGCATGGGCACGGAGGCCACTGTTCCTGCTCCGTATGGGGAGCTGCACCTGTCCCTCTGCATCGCTGCCGTCTGTCTTTGATGTTCCTTCCAAAGCCTTTGATTTTTTTTTCCACGTTGGGGATCAGGAGAGCTCAGTTGACGAGAATCCCAGACGGTGTGCATCACGTGACTCACCCCCCATGTCCGATGCCCCCGCAGGTGTCCGGGAACGGGCAGCAGAGTGTGGAGAAGGCCCTCAAGCTGTTTGCCCAGCTCATCAATAACAAGGTGTTCCTGCTGACGTTCATCCGCACGCTGGAGCTGCAGCGCTCCTTCTCCATGCGCGACCGCGGCAACGTGGCCTCGCTGATCATGACGGCCCTGCAGGGCAGGCTGGAGTACGCCACCGACGTGCTTAAGCAGCTGCTCTCCGACCTCATCGAGAAGAACCTGGAGAGCAAGAACCATCCCAAGCTTCTGCTGCGAAGGTCTGCACCCTGGGGGGTGGGTGGGAGATGAAGGGGCAGAGCCTAATATAAAGGGGAGGAGCTTAATCCCGATGAGGGAGGGGCTTATCTGAAAGGGGAGGTGCCTATTCCAGATGAGGGAGGAGCCTATTCTGGTCTTTATCAACTGGTCTAACCTTACAGTAGATCCCACATTATCATTTAGTCAATAAATCATGACCCAAATTCATGGTAAAAGTTGTTGACTGTGAGGGGAGGGGTGGTGACGGTAAAAGAAGTCAACCCACTGACCTGCTTTTGGTTCCGAGACCCACCAGTTGAGAAACACTGGCCTAACTGACCACGGAAGGCCAAGAAACTCGGATCACCAAGTACTGCGTTCTGCTGCGTCTCACGGGCTCTTTGTCCGTGGAAGCTTGATTGCAGGTGTCCGGGTCCTCTGGAGGTTCACAGCATGACAGATAGGAGGGTAGTCATTAGGAGAAACGTTTCAGCTATATTGGGCGAGGAGCTTTCGGACTGAAATGCCGTTGCCAGCCAGATGAGGTTACAGAGCGGTGGGCTGGCGCCCGATGAGGGGGGATTTTTGGCCTCGGCTGGTGAATCGCTGGATGACACCGCAGTTCGCAGCCATACAAATGACACAGCGGTCTGTGGGTCAGAACCATTCAATTCATAAGGCGGGGGTGGGCCTCTCTGCCTCTGCTGTGCAGCCCAATTACCGCCCAGTTACCGGTGCCCTGGCGGCCCCAACCGGAGATGGTGATATATTTCCACTGGAGAGAAAGTTCCGAGGTGAAGGGAGCCGAGGGCTGGGTATCGGCGGGAGGGAGGGAGGGATCACTTAACGGCTCCGGCCTGTGACCCAGGTGGGGGTCTCATTATTCCTGTGAGATGCAGGTGGAGCCGATTTTTGACTGTGATCCCCCCCTCACCCCACACAAAGTTTGCTTAACTTTCCTCTATTTCACTTCCTGCTGTTGAAAAGAGCGTAACCCCGAAGTGAAACCTACCATGGGAGTGATTGATGCGGCCCATCTCAATGGCAACTCTCAACTTAGGGGGATAACGATGGCCAGCCCTCCCTTCGCTTTCTGGAATCTCTCTGCCTTTCTGACGGGGAGCCGGAGACCCGAAGCCCCTTGAGTGAGCCCTGCATGCGAGAATCCTTTCCGTAAGGGTCTGTGGAACTGGCCCTGCGTGGCCCTTAGGGACGGTTCAGCCATTGGTCCTCAACACCGCAGAAGATGTATGTGGTCTTAAGCACAAACTGTGGGGATGGTGTCTGGCTCAGCAGGTTGGGATGGTGTGTCCTGTAACCTGAAGGTCACCAGTTCAAATCCAGGGGTTGGCAGACTGATTTCATCATTGGGTTCCTGAGCAAAGCTCCGCAACCCTCCAGGGACTGTGTGACTCTGCCTTCTGTACTATATGTCCCTCTTGAAGAAAGTATCTGCTAAATAAAGGTAAATGGCCTGGATATGCAGGACGATGACTGCAGCAATGGATGCAGTTGGAGGAGGAATTGGGGAGGGGGGGGTGCTTAGGGCTGGAAAAGTGGAAAAATGATGGAATTATTACTCAGAAACACCATTTGTCTCAGTTGTCACTCTACATACTGAGGCAGCAATCCTCGTGTGTGTTTGGGGGGTCATATATGTTCAGATCCTTGGCCAGTCGACCATGTTGGTTTGACTTTTTCCTCTAGCCAATATTTGGTCACCTGTGCTCATGGTCCTTGGGGTCCAATGCCTATTCAGCCTGAACAGTGGTGAGAGCGAGTACCAGAGGACATACCGACCATTGCCCTGGAGGGGAGGGTCACCGTGGAATTGAGCCTGATGCCATCCCTCAAACAGTCCCGGTTCGGAAGCTGGACCATTGAGGAAGTGGGATACTGAGGATGGAGGGCAATCACACTGGGGGGCACCATCTCCCTGGTATCCATTAATTAGCTATGCAATGGGTGATCCGGTAATTAACATTGTAGCCATGCGCCTCTGCCCATTTCGGGTGGCCGTTCACTTTCAGTCCCTGTCTCCTGATCCTCCATCATCATTATCCACAAAAAGGGCAGACATGGCCTTATTATGGGGGATGGACTGTAAAGCTGCACCAGGTAGCCATGCCCAAATAGAGAAGTTCTGACCAAAGGCTGTTTACCGAAGGCTGCCTTCACCAAGATCTAGGGAGCGCATCTCAGGATCAGTGGCCTGTGTCTTCTTCAGCTTAATAGCCATGAAAATCCAGCACAGACCTGTTTCTGGATGTGCTGTTTTATCCAAGGCCCCTTAAAGGGATGACAGGATGCCAAGGCTTAGCTCAGCTCCGTGAGAATGAAAGTGCTCTTCCCTGGGTGGCCTTTTGTGGACGCAAAGGCCCGGTGCTCTGTGATCGCCTGTCCTGGCTTTAATTGGCCCTGCGAGTGGGATACCACCCGGCTCTTCTGGTCCTTTCTCCCGCAGTGCCGCTAAACCTCCCCTCCCCTCGTCCCGCGGCACTGGCGAGGCCCGCACGCCTCTCTGCTCTGTCAGAGCCAAGCCCGCGCCGAGATATGAGGGTGCCTTCAAGTGCCACACAAACAGACAGCCCCGTCTACCTTTTTATAATGAGATCTGAGCATGCTCCGGAGACAGAAGCTGGTGCATTGTGGGCTGGCCGTCGCCCCACCGGAGATGAGAGCAGCTTATGCGATGTGTTAAATCGATCCAGGTCCTGCTTTCTCTCTCTCTATCTGTCCTTCTGCTTTTCTACCTCTCTATCTGTCCTCCTCTCCCTATCTCTCTCTCACTCTCTGCCCCTCTCCCTCTCCTTTTGGCTCTTCTCTATCTTTCTTTTCTAGTCTTAGTGTCTCTTTCTCCCTCTGTCTCTGTTCATCTCCCTTTCCTTCTCTTTGTCTCTGGTTGTCCCTCTCTCTTTGTCTCTCCCCTCCCTCTCTCCCTCTTCTTCTTTCTCCCCATCTCTCTCTCTCCCCTGCTTCCCGCACCTCTCCCTCTCCTGGTCTGTCTCTCTGTCCCTCTTCCTCTCTCCTTCCCTCCATTTCTCCCCCCTTCCCTCTCTCTGTCTGCCATCCTGCTCATTCACTGTCCTCCTCTCACCCTTTCCTTCTCTTTGTCTCTCTGTCTCTCCCTCTGTCTCTGTTCATCTTCCTTTCCTTCTCTTTGTCTCTGGTTGTTCCTCTCTCTTCTCCTCTCCTCTCCCTCTCTCTCTGTATCCCCTGCTTCCCACACCTCTCTCTCCTTGTCTCTCTGTCCCTCTTCTTCTCTCCCTCTATGTGTATTCCCCCTTCCCGCTCTCTGTCCATTGTCCTGATCATTCTGTCTCCCTCTCCTTCTTTGTCTCTCTCTCCCCCTCCCTCGCTCTTCCCTTCTCCAGTCTAAGACAGCAGAGTGGCAGCAGACAGCAGAGCCTTTCCACTGCCTCCGGCTTTTCACTCTTATTTGCGTTTTTTTTTTTTTACCTTCCGCGTTTCGTAATGAGATTTCCATCCATCCAGAGCGACGGGGAGTGAGGCTATTAGGAGAGTGTCGCTGTGTGCACGTCGCTCCTCCGCGCCGCATTCCGCCGCTTTCCCATAACGCCGTTCCTGCCTGTTTGCCGGCATTAGGAAAAACGCGCTCCTAATGCGCAACCGGGTAATGAAACGCTGATGTTTGTTAATGAAACTCTATTAAAAGCATGGGGGGGGGGGCTTTTGGAGGCAGGAAAACATGGGAAATTAGTGAGCCTGAGCCCAAGCCTGTACAAAAGGTTTTTATTGGACATCCGATTTTGGAAGCGGCTGAGCCTATTAAACTGTTTAATAGTCTCCATTAACTGCTGTCAGCCAAAAATATGGAATAATGGGCAACACCTCGGAATGTAGAGAGGGAGGCCACGGCCGATTGGAGCATTTAAAACACATTTAAAAGTGTCATTTTAAAAACCAAGGTCAGGGAGCACCTAGGAAAGCGTCTGGGCATTTCGGGGGTGAAGGTTCCAGAGCAGGAGGAAGAGAGGCTGTAGTCACACTCCCCCCTTCCAGAACAAAACAATGAAGTGATAATGTTCTGTACATCAACCCCCCCCCCCGTATCAGACCCCTTTTTTTTACATTTATTCACAAGGAACTGCTGTAGCAACAAAGTTATGGTATCTGCTCAGAAATGGCGTCTCAATTGCTTTGCGTCTCTTAAAGGGACGGCGTCTCATCACAGATGACGAGTAAGTCGTTATGAACCCGATGGCGACCGTCTCCGGCGAGTGGCACACAGTTAAGGAGCACCGTGTACCGGGCCGATGTTTAAGGCTGTTACACAGATCCCGGCTAATCTAATCCCCTTTCACCATTCTCAGTGGCCCAAGCCTCAATCTCGCTGCCATAATCACAGTCATTCCGCCCGCAATGAGAGGGTCATTTTCTCAGCGCACCGCTGAGTAAATTACCGGCATGCACCCCGAGTCGGCGGTGAAGGCGAAGGGGCGGCACTGGGGGGCTCTGGTGGGGCGGGGCCGCACACACAGGGGAGTCTCGATGGAAGCGGAGCCTTCCAGAGGCGGCACCAAGCCCCACGTCCTGAAACGGAGCTGCGTTGGTATTCCGCTCAGGCCCGGCCCATCCTCAGCGGTGCTGCTGCCACCCTTTCATGTATTTTTCATGTTCGTTAACCACGCTGTGTCTCGGCCTCCTCTCAAGCAAACCAAGCCCTTTCCCCACTCGAGGGGGGGTGGGGGTGTCCTGCTTGTTCTCTCCTCCTCCGTGAAGAGGAGAAGGATTTCCTTTGTTTGGTTTTATTTGGTATCTCCCCCTGGTGGTGCTCTCAAGGCCGACGCACAGCCCTGTAATTGGTACACCTGTCCGGTTCATCCTTTCGTTCATCCCTCCATCCCTGTTTCTCTCTCTCTCTCTCTCTCTCTCTCCATGAGAATATGACTTCAGTGTCTCTGAAGATGCTGGTTACTCCTGCGTCAGCACAGAAACAGAAATAAAACTTGGCAGGCCGGAAAGCTGTAACCCTCCCCCCCCCCCCACCCCGTTTAACCCGCTTGCTGGGAGTGCCTCGAGGGCTGGCAGTTTGACCCGCTGCTGGGACTGGCTCTCCGTTACGGGGCTCTGAGGTGACGAGTCTCCTCTGTGCTTGCAGGACAGAGTCCGTGGCTGAGAAGATGCTCACCAACTGGTTCGCCTTCCTGCTGCACAAGTTCCTCAAGGTAACCAAGCTGTGTGTGTCTGTGTGTGTGTGTGTGTGTTAACCTGAGGCCTTATTTAAGCCTCGGTGTGTCTTTGCTGAAGCATCAGTCACACCTCTGCCCCCACAGGAGTGCGCCGGGGAGCCTCTCTTCATGCTATACTGCGCCATCAAGCAGCAGATGGAGAAAGGTCCCATCGACGCCATCACCGGCGAGGCTCGTTACTCCCTGAGCGAGGACAAGCTCATCCGGCAGCAGATTGAGTACAAGACCCTGGTACATGTGCGCTCTCAGAGCACAAACACATGTTCATAGACCCATTCTGCATACATTTGCCTTCATATAAATACTCCTGCACTTTGGTTGCTTATCAGAATAGTTAAAAACAAGCAAGTCAATGCAAAGAAAATTTATCAGACAAGTACTGGGCGACATTGCAGCAGGAGGTATTTTAGGGATGCATTTGTGATGGAGACATTTCAGTGGGAGACATTTGAGTTGGAGACATTTCAGTGGGAGACATTTGAGTTGGAGACATTTCTAGGAGATACTTTTGTGTTGGAGACATGTCAGTGGGAGACACTTTTAAAGTAATTCTACATTTCTCCTTTGGCTGGAGGTCACTGGGGTAACCAGGTTATGGCAGATGAAAATGGGAAGCAATTCAGAATGTGTCTTAGACTTCGTGATAAACGTTTGCTTAATTATTTTTAATGTCTTTTCCAGTATATTTCTTTAATATGTATACTAAATATTACTTATTTGCAAGAAAATAAATCACAGTTGTAAATCTCACTTTTTTGATGAAAGCTTGCTTGGCTCCAAATGAATACTGATACTGTAAAAAAAAAAGAACTATAGCAATTTATTTTCGTAATGGTTCTGCGTGAGAAGCAAATATCCAGCATTCCTTGTCTAAGTCTCTGTAGCTCATTGATACTCCGCGTTTAGCTCTTTTTTCTCACGAGCAAGACACAAACAATAGCCTTTCGATTCTCAGGAGCATCTTCACGGCAGCAAGAAATAAAGCCATAAAAAGAAAAGAGAACCTGTCAGTCGTCTTTTCGGTCCACTATGCTTAAAAAAAGACCACCGGGGATAACCTGACAGTGAACTCTGAGCCTAATGACAGCAGCCTCCCATGATGCTCAGAGCCAGGAGGAGAGGAATCCCACGGATGGATAGGAGAGCGAAGTATGGCGTCCTGTAATCTGGGCTAAATAAAAACCACACGGCTGTCCTTGTCACCTTACGCTCTGATTTTCTGGTCTGTGTGGAACCAGCATCATGATGGGCATTGTGCTCCTTTGCCGGGAATACCTGGGGTGGGGGGGCAGGGAATTCAGACAGTCAGACAGTGTCGAGATGACACGGCACTGATTGCGCTGATGGGAAATTTGGCTCATTACTTGTTAATACCCTGCCAGAACTGGAAATTGGTGTCCCACCGCAAGTGTGAAATTAGATTTTTCGGAAGCCCGCATGTGCGGAAATAGCCTCTTAGACCCCGACGTTAGAGGACTCCCTCACAGCCTCCGTTCTCCCTCCTCCCCAGATCCTGAACTGTGTCAACCCCGAGAACGAGAACAGCCCCGAGATCCCAGTCAAGGTGCTCAACTGCGACACCATCACTCAGGTGAAGGAGAAGATCTTGGATGCCGTCTACAAGAACATGCCTTACTCGCAGCGGCCGCGAGCCGTCGACATGGACCTGGGTGAGTTGCTGTGACGACGGCAGCTAACTGCTAACTGCTAACCGTCCCCGCTTAGAGGCTTGGGGCGGACCCAGACTCTCGGGTCGAGCCACATGACCCAGGTAAGGGCCGGCAGATGGGCCTGTCAGCGGGTGGCAGGAACACCATGGGCGCCCCTAGCCACCCTGGTCCAGTGCAATCCCCCTGCTCCCAAGGCTGTTATCTCCCTCTTCAATGGGATCATGAAAGAAACAAGCAGGGAACAAAAGAAACCCCCTCCCTTCCCCCGGCACCCCACCGTCGTGCCTGTCTCGTCTCCGCACTCTCTGCTCGTGCGTGCCGTCCCCCACAGTGTCTCTGTCTCTCCATTGCCGTGGAGATGCGGTCCTCGGAGGTCGCGGCGCCAGGGCGATGGAGGGCCGAGGCCATGTGGCTGGCAGAGCTGTGAGGTCCGGCCAACAGAGGAGAAAATCGATGATCACTGTCCGCAGGGGGGCCTGCCGCCTGCCATCTTTCCATCAGTGTCCTCGTTATCCTGTCATTATCTGCCACTCCACTTCTCTTCCCCCCTCTACTGAGCTGTTTTCCTTTTTTGTTATCCAACGTATGCATACACCCCTCAGCCCCTTCACCACGGCATGGGCAAGCCATGTACAGCAAGGGTTAGCACAGGGGCGGGGCCATAGGAGCACTGGCCCCAGCTAAAAGCTGATTGGCCCCTGGAGTGCCCCCTCCCCTGTCAATCACTGATTCAAAACATATCATTAGCTAATGATAAGGTTGCCCCCTCTGCATAAACGCACCTCTTATGCCCCACCCACCTTAAAAAATCCTGTAATCACTCCATCTGCTGTCTAATTTTTAGTGTTTTTAAAGTTGATGTAATATACCTTGCTTTGACTGGTTTCTGTGGGTTCTGACCCAATACGGAACTGACCCAATGCTTCTCCTCGTCTACCACCAGAGTGGCGCCAGGGCCGGCTGGCACGGGTGGTGCTCCAAGACGAAGACATCACTACCAAGATAGAGAACGACTGGAAGAGACTCAACACCCTCCTGCACTACCAGGTGAGCCTCCGGAAAACGCAGAGGCCCCGCCCACATGGTTACCAAGCAGAGGTGGCCCAGTAGGCAGATGGTCCAATCGGCTGAGACCCGGGATCAAAACAGGTGCTACAATGTAGCCTTTTGTAGTTCTTAACGGTAAGACATGTGGCGAGCGTTATCCTAAACCAGAAGGTTGTCGGTTCAGGTCCCACAGAGATCTTTGCCGCTCAGACCTTGAGCAAAATGTCACACTTAATTCTCTTAAGTATAGATGCCAAAAATACGTGCGTGTCAGCGAAGCAGAAGGATGTGAATGCTGAGTGCCCATGTGCCTGAGGTCTGTCTATTAGCTGGGTCTTTTTATAGCCTTAAATCGTGAAAGTCATGCTTTTTCCTGAAATTAAGTGATAGTAATTATGCTATAGTGTCAGATTATGAGTGCTGTTAAGGTCAGAATCTGCGTCTGGTGCTGGCAACTGGGCAAAGTGTAAAAACAGAGTGTGGCGTTTGGTGCTGTGTTACCGTGAACTTGAGATGGTTGACGAGCCCCGCTGAGGTCTTCCTCCCAGGCTTGCCGAAAACAGTGGGTGTGTTTTTTGTCAGATGGACAAAAGCTCTGTGAAGTGGTGCCCAAGGGGGCTGCAGTATGATTCACACTCTCTCCAAAGTCAGGCCCATGTGGCCAACGGTGACCCCAACCCTCCTGGAATCTATAACGGATCCCGTCCTACGCGCTGGGACTGCTCTCTTACCTGTTACTGCGGCAATTAGCCACACTCAGCTCCACGTTTGGAGCCAAGCAGCTCCTCTCGGCCTCTGGGGGGGTCACAAGTTTACATCCCACTTCCTGCACTGGGCTTCTGGGACCCTGGAGGGGGGGGTTAGGGGTTCTAAGAGTTCTTGATTCATTTAGCTTTGGAAAAGTGGCTCCCTTATGCTGCTTGACTCCCAAAGGTATGGGGGGGTTCAAGAAAGCTGGGGAAGGGAGTTAGCATGCTGGGGGGGGGTCTTTTCCAGGGGTCTCCTTGCAGGGTTGCAATTGAAAGCAGGGTCAACCAGTCCCTGGAGCAGCTGGGGTTAAGGGCTTTGCTCAAGAGCCTAAAACATTGATGATTAAAATTAGCATTGAGCACAAGGAAATTAAAAAGTAAACATGTGCTGGAAGTTTTCATACATCCATTCATGTTTTCCAGAAATATTTTATTGATCCCAGAGGTCATTAGTTTACGACTCCCGAATTAGAACCCAAACCCACAACCCTGAGACTGAGTCTTCTGCTCTAACAGTTGAACTTGCCGGGCTGTTAAGACCATTAGCCAAAGGCTGTTGAGGAAGGGGGGCGGGGGGTCCGTAGATGGGACTGGCAAGACATGATGGCCCCATGGCAGGAACTGAGGGTGCTGGGAGCAGGTGCTGGGGAGAGAGGAAGAGGGAGGGAAGAATGGGGGTGGATTTGGAAGCAGAATACGCCAAGCGGGAAAACGGGGAGCAGCTGGATCAGCAATAAACTGTAGAGCTTCCCCAGTAATCGCCCCCCCCCCCACCACCACCCGCAGTAGCTCCCTTATTTTGGAAACGATCTCTTGTGTAGATATGCTAATTCCCACCTTTTTATTCCCACCCAAAAAAGCATCAACAGACCCTCAGCACGCCAGCATTTATATCTTAATTCAATCACTTCTGTGACACGGCCTGATGATCGAGGGAATCTTCAAAGTCATTAATCCCAGTCGGAGGACGGGCGATATGAAATACCGAGTGTCCGACCGGCCCGGATTCTTATCTCCCCGCCTTGATTAGTCTCTTGACTTGTCAAGGATTCTTTGATCTTTTTTCGTGAGTCTCCTTGTCCCCCCCACACCCCCCCCACCCCCACCCAGACACACACATACACACACCGCCAAATCTTTCCCTTTTGTTATCTTCGGAGGTGAGGCTGTTAACCTTGTAGCCGATGAATGGCATTACAGGGGAATCTAGAACACCTTGGGTGGGGGGGCTGAGGGGTGTGTAAGCCCTAGTGCTTAGATTCAGTGAATTTCCAATTTCAAGGTTTGAGCGGCATGGGAGATAGGCAAAGCAGATTAGAAATTTAAATAAAGCATCGGCGAACATGTGCGTGTGTGTGTGTGTGTACCGTGGGGGTATGATGCTTGATTCTAGGATTTTCTTAAGGTGGGGGGGCATAAGAGGGGCCATAATTCATGCAGAGGTGCCAGTCAATGGTATGTTTTGAATTGGTGTTTGACAGGGGACGGGACACTCCTAGGATCAATCACCTTTCAGCTGGGGCCAGTGTCCGTAGGTGATTGGTCCCTCTTCCTGTCAATCACTGATTTAAAATACAGACGCTCCTCTACTTACGAATGAGATACTTTCCGAACAGCCGTTCGTAACTTTAAATGTCCGTAAGTCGTTATTCAACATCATTTAAGGGTATACGCAAGTACAAAGGACTAGGATGCTGGGAGTACGCACGCTATGCTGCTGCGCGGCGGGAGTAGCGGCCAGAAGTCGTACTAGGCGGAATTGGCGCGCAGGAAACAAACTGATTCTGCGGACAGGAAACAGGAGCCCAATGAACACAATGTGGACTTACAGTCCTCTTCGTTCGTGTGTCTGAAAGTTCGTAAGTAGAGGAGCGTCTGTATATCATTGGCTAATGATAAGGTTGGCCCCTCTGTATGAGTTATGGCCCCTCTCATGCGCCCCACCTTAAAAATATTAGATTTGCCCCTGGTTCTGTAACAGCAGGCAGGAAAAGGCCAGCGTTAAAGTTCAGGGGAAATGCGTGGGCAGTCGCAAGTCAGGACCACGGGAGCCGGGAGCTCTGAGGGCATGAAGTGAGGGGTGACACCTGCGGCGCGTGACCCCAGGTCAGACGCCCACATCTTGCTCGGTTTCACAGCTCCGGGCCGCTAACAATCTCCCTTCAAATTAGTGTTAAGTAAGCTGCTGTCGCACAAACGGGGAAGCTGTTCTCGCCGATGCTGTCGGCTCGCACTTCGTCCGCAGCCAAAAATCCTCCACAGCCCAGGAAGGGGAAAGCGGTGACCCAACGGGACGACATCCGCAGGGTCCTAAACACCCCAAGGTTTGAGTCTCCCACACGGGGCGCTGAGCGAAGGCCATTATTGGAAAGGGGGTGTGATCCCAGGTATATTACACATAAATGAAGGAGAGAAAAAGGGAAAGAAAAGTGAGGGAAGTGATGGAAGAGGGACACTGGACTATCTTAGAGTTTACGCTAACGAGTGCTCTTTAGTATGAACCTATACAAAATTTTTGGCTTATGTGTTTTTTGCAGTAAGGTGCCTCAAACGGTATGGGAAGGTAAATCCGACTTATGACTTACATAAGGGTTTGTGCAGTGGATTACTAGCAGTAGTCGCAAACTGCACCAGCTACTCTTCACAGTCTGAAAATAGACAACCTCCAGTGCCATAGTCAGGGGTGTATACAGGGGCGGGACCACAGGGGCACTGGCCCCAGCTGGAAGCCCATTGGCCCTAGGAGTGCCCTCTCCCTTGTCACTCACAGATTCAAAACATACCATTGGCTGATGAGAAGGTTTGGCCCTCTGTATGGATTACGGGCAATATAATGCCCGCCATCTTAAAAACAAGCATAGATTTGCCTTTACGTGTGTCCAGAGATTCACCGACATCCCATCCAGAGTGATCTTGCTAGGATGGGTTCCAGACTAATATCATAAGCAGTTGTATGGATAATGTGCACCAACTGACCAAACAGCCAGCTGGTGTGTTTTCATTTGCTAACAGCAGACATCCTGGACCCGTTTCTGAATAATAAGCCAAACACTATTCCTCAGTGCAGCAGGGAGGCTTTAAAAAGGTCTCGCGGACGAGTGCGCAGGTAGCTAATGTTAGCCGCACGGCCTGCGTCCGCCTAATTACCCAGTTTAGCAGCCTAACAGCTGCTTTTGAGGAAGCCGGCTACGTCGGCGGCGAGGAACCTGGTTTTTATATGCGGCGCTTTGTTTTATTGTTCAGTGTAACACGGCTCTGACGCGGAAAACAAGCCCTTCATCAAACACGCGGCCATCTGTTTATGCTAATGAGCGGCGGCGTGCGAGTGGGCGCGGGATTTGTCAGGCCGGCCGCTTGGCAGCACTGCTGCCCTCTACCTCCGCTGGAGCCAAGCCTGAACATCAGTCACACGGCATCCGTGGGTGGTGGGGAGGAGGGGCTAAATCCTGCTTCCCCAAACAAAGCCCAGCTTGCATTTTGCAGGCACCTTCAGATCCAAATTTAAACAAACATACTCCAGTCTGCCCTGTGCACAGGAGTCAGGACTGGATCGCATCCATCATGCAGAAGCGGGTATTTGGTACTGGAGCCTGTCCCGGGAAGGGGGGGGGGGTACAGCCTGGATGTGATTCCTGACCACACACACACACGCGTGCATAAACACACACAAACTCATTTGTATTCATATCTTTGTGGGGACCGTCCATTCATTTCTATGTGCAAAACCCCAATCCCAATATGACGAGCTTAACCAATACCCAGCTCTATCCTTAATCATAAGTCACCAAACAAAATACAAGTAATTTTTTCTTTTGGCATTTTTAGGTTTTTGATTCTAGTGATATATTTTTATAAAAGTGAGCTCCCACTTGGGGTGGCACAGTGGTTTGCACTGTTGCCCCCCACCTGTGTCATCGTGGGGGTTTCCTCCAGGTACTCTGGTTCCCCCCCCCCCCACAGTCCAAAAACATGATTGGCTGATGGGAGTTACCAAATTTTCCATAGGTATGCGTGCGTGAGCGAATGGTGTGTGAGCAAATGGTGTGTGAGTGTATGGTGTGAGAGTGAATGGTGTGTGAGTGTATGGTGTGTGAGTGAATGGTGTGAGAGTGAATGGTGTGTGAGTGAATGGTGTGTGAGTGAATGGTGTGAGAGTGAATGGTGTGTGAGTGAATGGTGTGTGAGCGAATGGTGTGTGAGTGTATGGTGTGTGAGTGAATGGTGTGTGAGTGTATGGTGTGTGAGTGAATGGTGTGTGAGTGAATGGTGTGTGAGTGAATGGTGTGTGAGCGAATGGTGTGTGAGCGAATGGTGTGTGAGTGAATGGTGTGTGAGTGTGCGCTGTGATTGGTTGGCACTCCATTCTGGGTCGTTCCCTGCCTGGTGCCCATTGGCTATAGACCCCTGTGGCCCTGAATAGAATAAACAGTTTCAGAAAAGTTGGTCCCCACAACTTAAAAAAAGGTTTTTATCACACTGTGGGGACATTTGTTAACAAATACAGTATGTAACCTATACAATTTTAAGACCCCAACTAACATTGATAGATAGAAACATAAATAAACATACAAAACAAGAACCTTGTAAGACTAGCCAATGGCCAGAAGTGCAATGTAAGAACGTCAAGAGGCATCAGGCTAGTAGAGGAATTCATGGAACAGGTGGGTCTTCAGGTGTCTATTGAAGGTGGAGAGGGAACTGCAGTATGCAGAGAAAATCCGTCCGACGCGAGAACACACCAGCTGCACACGCACACCGCGAAGGCAGGACCCGACGCCATTTCACGGAGGGAGCATCTGAGCCACCCAGCCACTAGGACTGAATTAAATCTACAGATCTGTCCTCTGCTGTTTCATGTGGCTACCCTTGTGTCACAGTGCACCTGAGGTCCGGCTCCGATACCAATCAGGGGACAGAGGAGCAGAGACGGCGAAAATCACGTCTGCTGGCTCGTCGAGCCAAGCCTTATCGCACGTGGCTACAGATCATTCCGGAAAGGGCAAATGCACCTGCCCCTGTCTTTTCTGGTTTTATCCAGGGGCACGGAAAGGGGGGGGGGGGGGGGGGGGGGAGAAGGCAGGTTTCCTCAATCAGCCAGTTTCACCTTCCTACCTGTGCCCCCTAGTGTGGCCATCGAGGGAGACTCTTACAACAGCCAGGCGGGTTAACAGCTGCCAGGGCTCATCAATGAATGGAAAGGAAGCCCCCCCCCCCATATCCCAGGTGGATTTTCTGGGCCGGGCCTGACCTTTTGCCCCTTAGTCTTCAGAAGGCTTCACGCAAAGCAGTGATGTGCAGGTGTGGGGTTTGGACAGCATGGGAGAGAGGGAGAGTGTGCCCCGGGAAGAGCGCCACGCGCAGGATGCATGTGAGCCGCGCATGCTGTCGAGCCGGGCTCCCGTCACGGGGCCTCCTTGCCATGTTTAATTATACAGGGACCATTAAGACTTGGGGCCATGACATCATGGGGGCTGTTGGACATGACTGGCGGCACGTCTGCCCAGTATGGCCGGGATGCAGCTCTCATTAAGCGGGCTGCTCAGGGACAGTGACGTCGCTGGGCACATGCACCCTAGCACAGCAGCACACTCACTCACACACACACGCAGCACACACACGCAGACAGACACACTCACACACACACGCAGCACACACACACACACACACACAGCACACACACGCAGACAGACACACTCACACACAGACCTGCACGCGCACTGAGTCACATGTGCGCTGTGAACGTGCATTAGCATTTCTCAGTTCCGCCATTGTTAACGCAGCGATATGGCGGCCTTTTTGACGAGAGAGAAACCCCCCCACAAGAGGGAAATAAATAGCGCGGTGAGGGTTTAGACCAGGGTGGGGGGAGGGGAGGGGCACCAAAAAGCTGGAGCGGCGAAAGTAGGAAAGCGGAGCCATTCATAATGTTAAATGCTGCCTTCTTCCGAGCGTGTCACATGCGTGTAATGGGAGGGTGGGGGCGTCGGGGCTCATTGAGCAAAGCGGGGAGATGGGGGGGGGGGGGGGGGGGGGGGGGGGGGGGGGGGGGGCACAGTGGGACCACTGCATTTTTTTTGGGAGGCTCCCCTTTAATGTGAAAATCTCAGGTTTATTCGATTCTCCTGGGGAGTGCTGAGAATGACCCCATCCCCCCCCCCCCGCCTCCGACTTCAACTGGGGGAGATTACTGAGCGAGATCAGAGAGGCCTGAAAATTCTCGCACCAGGGGGCTTAAATGGCGTGGACTACGCCCCCCCCCCCCAAAAGATGTCGTGTGTTAAAAGCGGAGCCACATAATGAAGGCACAGGAACATTTACTCGGGGCGTAGAAGGATGGTGCTGCAACGCCCGGCTGTAACGTCAGCATCGACGCATCCTGGGTACCGGAAGACGGCCACTTCCCAGCATCTCAGGTGGCTTCGTGTCGTTGGCGATGGAAAATTCTGGACAGATTCCTCGCCTTCTTCCCTCCGGTGTTCATACACAGCAGTGCCCCCCCATCCCCAAGTTCACCCCTCCCTCCCCCTCTCCTGCAGGTATCTGACCGCTGCGTGGTGGCACTGGTACCCAAGCAGACGTCGTCCTACAACATCCCACCGACGGCCAGCATCTCCCGCACCTCCATCAGCAGATACGGTGAGCGAGCCCACCTCCACCCCCCCACTGTGTGTCCACCTCCCACGCTGCGCTGCCCCTGGTGGACGACGAGGCGTCCCAGACCACCAACGCAGGGCTGAATTGTGATGGATTCTGATCCTGGGTCAGTCCCTGAGGGACCAGCTTGAAGTTCTATATTCATTTCCGATTTCTTTGGTCACATTCGTTTTCTCTTTTTTGTTTTGTTTTGTTTTTGTCCATGGCAGAAGCTTGCTTTCATCTTCCCCGTGCTGTTTGTGCTGCAGTTTACTGTGCAGGCTGCGTCTTGGCCGGCTGAAGCTCGAGGGAGGCCGCGGGGGTGGGGGGAGGGGAAGTGTTGATTTCGACTTTCTCGTTATTTTTCTCCCGCTAAGAATGATAAAGATAATTCCGACAGCGAGCTCGGAGCCAAGCCGCGATGGTCTGACACGCAGCGCTTCCCTCGGCGGGGCCGTGCTTAGCGGGGCCGGGCGGCGGAGACAATCATTAATTATTCGGTACGAATCACGCATGGCGGGAGTGAAAGCTGAAAAGGAAGTCGACCCCAGTGGGGGGTTGGGGGGCAATGCAGAGGCTTGGGGGGGGGGGCATGAACCAAGCGGCAGTGCGGTGCCCGGCCGAACCACGCCTGGTGAAACCAGCTCTCATCATTCATACCATTACCAGATCATTCCACCGTAAATCTTTACAGTGCTGTGAACGTCCGTGTTGTACAGGGGACGTGGGGGCAGAAGTGCTCCAGCTTTTTTGTTTTATTTATATGACCTTATGTTTCTGGATTTGCTGGCATCGTGTTTCTGGATCTGCTGGCATCGTGTACCACACAGCAGTGAGACACAGGGGGTGCAGTTGTGCCAGGGTGACTCCCTGACATCCTCCCCCACCCCCCTGCCATGGACGTGTCACACCCCACCCGCAAGCAACACCACGAGCACCCCATGGAGAAGGCCAATACCTCATTCATAGGGTGGATTTTCGGTTCCCTCCCTATTTGTCCGGCACATCGAACCCTCATTTCAGGACCGTTTCCCTAGCGACCGCCGCCGAGACCTTCGCCTTTGAAAATCCACAATCCCACGAGGGGCTCTGACGGCTCTGGGAAAGGGACACTAATTGGTGGGCGAGGAGGATCTGGTGAGGGTTCCTGGCTGGGGGGGTGGGGGGTGCAGGAGACCCCCGCTTATAAGAAGCCTTTTGATTGGTCGCCGCTGTCTGCGAGGGAGACGTGTCATATGTCACTCGCACAATGTTTATCCGTCCCGTTGCTTGAGCAGAGATGCATGACTGAGGGGCATGACAGGGCCGTGCTGTCGTGGGCGGAGCTAAACTGCAAGCAGGCCAGTGCCCTTGTGGCCTCACTCTTATATAAACCGCCTGCCAGTGATGCTCCTTCTTTTCTGCAAATATAAGAGTTATCAGGCTCTGCAGTTGTCTTACGTGGTGGAACTAATGTGAAGCCATTAATTTTCCGGACGACATAGAGGAGACGTGCCAGGGGTCCCAGCTTTGTAATGAGTGCGTGAGGAATGAGTGTAATTACCCAGTGAGTCGTGTGTGTGTGTGTGTGTTTATGTGTTATGGGAGCAGTGTGTGATTTAGTGGGTTAGGCTCCTGTACTTGTGATCGTAATGTCGCTGGTTCCGGTCCCAGGGTCTGCAAAGTGATTCCACCATTGTGCCCTTGATCAAGACCCTTAACCCCTAGTTGCTCCGGGGTGACCTTGCCTCCTCCCAAAAAAATTTATATAAATAGTGTGTAAAAATATGTGTTTTTACGTGGCTGTGCTTAGTAAAAAGTTACAGGGGCTCTCAGGGGGTTCTGGGTCATTTTGCTTGAGTTCACATTCCTCCCGGCCTCCCCCCCACAGACTCTTCATTCCGCTATACGGGAAGCCCAGACAGTCTGCGCTCCCGAGCCCCCATGATCACGCCGGACCTGGAGAGCGGCGTCAAGGTCTGGCACCTGGTGAAGAACCACGAGCACGGCGACCAGAAAGAGGGCGACCGCGGCAGCAAGATGGTGTCCGAGATCTACCTGACCCGCCTGCTGGCCACAAAGGTACCGCCACTGACGCTGCCCTGTTCCCATGGAGATTACTTCTGCTGAAGCTAGAGGGCAGTTTAATCTCAGAAGTGCATTGTGGGATTGGCGCCAGTGCCAGTCACCCCGAACAGGATACGTTAGCCTGTCATAAACAACGCCGGCTGGCTACTGCCCCCCACAGATGGCCAGGAGCACCCTGGCTTACTGGTTATTGTCCTGATTCCCCCACCCCCAGGGCACGCTGCAGAAGTTTGTGGATGACCTGTTCGAGACGCTCTTCAGCACGGTGCACCGAGGCAGTGCCCTGCCTCTCGCCATCAAGTACATGTTCGACTTCCTAGATGAGCAGGCAGACCGTCATGGCATCCACGACACTGATGTCCGCCACACCTGGAAGAGCAACTGGTATGTGGGGCCATCTTGGAAACTGCGTGCAAAAGACATCCCATTTAATTGCCTTTAGTGTTCGGGTTCATTTTTCCATGTTCTTGCATTGTTAGCATAATTATAATGATATAAGCACAACAGCTAACAGCTCTGTATCTTATGCGACTCTGTGACATGTCCCATCTTCTGCTACGCTGCGCTGTCCACACATTAATATGATGCAGCCCACCGCCGGGTTACTAACAGCCCCCTCCCCACCACGTCTCCTACAGCCTCCCACTACGCTTCTGGGTCAATGTGATCAAGAACCCACAGTTTGTCTTCGACATCCACAAGAGCAGCATCACGGACGCCTGCCTCTCCGTGGTGGCCCAGACTTTCATGGACTCCTGCTCCACCTCCGAGCATCGACTGGGCAAGGACTCCCCCTCCAACAAGCTGCTCTATGCCAAGGACATCCCCAACTACAAGAGCTGGGTGGAGAGGTGAGGCTTTTCAGTACAGTGGCTCCCAATACCACCCAATCCCTATCGCAATACCGCCCTGAGACACTTTCCCGATACCATCCCAAGACCCTATCCTAGTACCACCCTGAGACCGTATCCCAATTCCACCGCAGATCCTGTTCCGATATCGCCCTTAGACCCTGTCCCAACACCGCCCCAAGACCCTATCCCAAGACCTCCCTGAGAACCTGTCCTGATACCGCCTCAAGACACTGTTCCAATACCACCTTGAGACCCTATCCCAATACTGCCACAGGTCCTATCCCAATACCTCCCTGTCCCAGTACTCTCTGAGACTCTGTCCAGATATTGCCCCGAGACTCTGTCCCAATTCTGACCCAATGCCGCCCCAAGACCCTGTTGTTTTGTGTGTCCCGATGCAGCTCAAAACAACCTTAAAATGAGAGGCGGCTGGTAGATCACATGACGACAAGATCATTTCTGGGGTGTTACCTACTGGGCTGCCATACTTGAATTTATACCATGGCGCCCTTTGGTACTCGAATCCGATTGGTCAGAAGATTGTCGATTAATTTTCTATAACAGCACACATAGCTCAGCCAGGCAAATCACAATAATCAATAAAAGTGCTATTATAATCTTGAATTCTAACTAACGTTACTTAAAATTCCAGACATAGAATGCAATTTGAAATTAAAGGAAAATTAAGCCGAAACATCTCATCATTGGCAGAATAAAGTAATTGCACTAATAAATGCACACATGAAACTGTCTTTAGGTACGCCAAATGTGTGGTAACCATGATATAAGTTGGTTAATGCACTCCAAGCCGCTCATTATACATTTCTAAACGTACTCCACTGTACGTCGGGTGGTTCTTCGCCTCTACAGCCTTGTGTTTAAGAACGTATAATGCACAGCTTGGCATGCACTAACCCTTACATATTTACTGTAAATAACCCACTTGAATGACTGCCTGTAATGACCAGCGCACTGGAAGCTTCTGGATAAGCTTAACTTAACAGGCTTTCTGACTGGATCCAGTAGAATGCTTAAAGGCACAGTGACCCTGTCTGATGTGCATCCGACCTGTGTCCCTCCCCACCCTCCCCCAGGTACTATGCCGACATCAACCGGCTGCCTGCCATCAGCGACCAGGACATGAACGCCTACCTGGCGGAGCAGGCCCGCCTGCACTGCTCCGAGTTCAACATGCTGAGCGCCCTGAACGAGATCTACTCCTACGTCAGCAAATACAGCCAGGAGGTAAGGCGCGGGCCGGTCATGTGACCGCAGGCAACAGTCCAGACGGGCAAAAGATATATGTGAAGTTGGGCCAGGTCCGGAAAGCTGAAAAGCTTAGTAAAACAGCCGGAACAGCGGTGCGGTGAAGCAGCGGGTCCAAGTTGCGACCCACTTCCATACCAGTGAAGGTGAGCTCAGGTTGTGGCTCAGATGCAGAGGAAGCCTCTGGTCGCACTCTCCGTGACAGTCCCATAATGCAGCCGTTACCTTAACTGCCGTCAGGGCTTCTCGCGGGAGCCATCGGTTTGACCTTTGCATCAGGCTGGGTGTAAAATGCAGGTCTTCCAATACTCAGAGTGCTTCTCCCTTCCATAAGCCGCCCACTCCGTTCCATACCTCTCACAGCTTGAGCTTCTATTGGTCGGGCTCATTTGTTCCCCCACCGACCTCCAGGGGGCGCCAGCAGATGGGGAAGCTGGAGGGACACGCTGCACCTGCACATGGCAGGACAGATTAATCACCCGACGGCATCAGCAAGCGAGAGCACTTTAGCAGATGAAAGGGAACGGGGGGGGGGTGGGGGGGGTTGTACTACAGCTGATGCCGTTGCCCTGAATGAGGGGCATCCTTTGCCACACACCCCTGCCGCCCCTCTTTCATCACGCTGAAGCCAAAGAGTGACGTAGCCGCACACAGGATTTACACAGGATTTACACAGGATGAAAGGGGTGCGCTGTCAAGCTAATGACAGCTCTGCCTTACTGGGCTGATGTCAGGATGGAGTCATTGCCATCGACTTCTCCACATTGTCCTTATTGATCTGTTTCCTGCCGTTTTTTTCTTTGATACTTATGGGAAAACATCGAAATGGATGGATGTCACACAGTCAACAATCTCATACTTCAGACGTCATATTAGAGGGAATAAAAGGAGATTCGGCCCAGCTTTGAATGCAGCTTGACAAATGCCACCGTTGTGCGGGAACAGAAGGGCACGGATCGAATAGTGCAGGAGTATTACCGCGGGAGTGATGTAACGACGCCCTGGCTTGTCTCTTTGACATTGATTACATTTCCTTTCTCAAGTGCATATCTGCAGAAAGACAATCCTCCTCGCACTAGGATGAAGTCGTGCAGGTATCACTGTTATCTGTGTCTAGCAGCAGGCTCAACAGAAGACAGGACAGGCTTCACATTAGTGTTTCCTTTGTGCCTCTTACCTTATCATTGTGTTCTTAGGTTAGCACAGTGGGCTTAGTTTAGCATCATCCCCTTAGTCTAGCACCATGGGTTCACATCCTTAGCATTGTGCTGTATATTTAGCTTAGCTCTATAGGTTTAGCTTAGCATCCAGGCCTTTGCTTAACACTGCATCCCTAACTTAGCTGCACATCCTTAGCCTTGTGTTGCATTCTTAGTTTAGCCCTATGGGCTTAGCTTAGCATCTGGGTCTTAGCTTAGCCTAGCTTCTCTTGTGTGCCACAGATCACGGCAGCACTGGAGCAGGACGAGCACGCCCGGAAGCAGCGGCTGGCCTACAAGGTGGAGCAGCTCATCGGCGCCATGTCCCTGGAGAGCTGAGGGAGGGAGGGCACCAGCAGACCCCCCGATAAAAGGACTGGACCGCACCATCAGCCGCAACCCGCTCGAGTCCCAGCTCCCATTACGGCCAGGGAGTATCACTGACAATGGGCTTTAATTTCCGTAAAAATTACGATAAGTTTCCATTTAAAGGCTATCTCAGCCAGGCTGTGGGGAGCTTGCTGTTTGGGGCATTTAGGCTATAAACAGTATCAAGATGAAGGGATGGATTTAAAAAAAATAGAACGGACACATCAGGAAGCAACTTTGAGGAGGAGAAGCGAGCTGCGGGTGAAGCCAACATGGCTGCCATCAGACAGCCACGTCGGCAGGTGAGAGGAGAGGCTCTCTGCCCCCACACCGCCCGCCTCACTCCCGAGCTGCAGATATCCCGGGTACTTCCGGATTTTATTTTTATATGTGTACATTTTGTTTCTTCGAACTGACTGACGCGGACAGATGCTGCTCTGTGACTTTGTGCGCGTGGTCCAGTCTAAGGGCGTCACTGGGAGAGAAAATAGGCGTTCCCTTTCGCTTGGCACCTTCCCACACGTCGGATGAGCAGGCGTGATTTCCCAACAGGAGGACCACTGATGACTGCATCAAGGGGCAAGTAAAGAAAGTCCCACTGAAAGCTGATTGGCTCCTATCGAGCACCGTGTCATGGCTCCGGCTAATGGCTGCGGTTACGAACGAGAACAACAACCACCGACTTCTTGCTTATCACAAAGCGTCTCCAAAAAGACTCCCCTCGACTGAAACGAAGCCATCCCGTCAGTGGGTGTACGTTCCAACTTCACCTTATATGTGAATGTACAAATGTGGACACTTTCCTGTTTCCTCGTGTGTAAACAAACGGCTGTTGCTCTTTCTGTCACAGAAGGAGCGAGATAAAATCTAGTCAGTGGCATGAAGTCACACACTTTATCAGCAAGCTGCTTCCATCCATACCTGGACCGTGTATGATATTTTATTTTTGCCAAAACACTCTGATTTTGGGCAGAGTTCTTTTATTTAATAATAATAATAATTAGGTTGAATTTGACCACCTATTTGAACATTTTAACATTCCCTGAAGACTGGTGGCGTCCCCCACAGTCCCATGCGGGTGAGAGGTGGGATTCCCCGGCCACAGACTGTAATCCTACCAAGATCTTCCTGTTTATTTTTTCCACGCTAATGCTGTTGTTGGTCTCTCCACCTACTTCCCATTTCAGTAGTGCCAAAGGCATCCCGATTCCCCGCCGGTGGCCCAGTCCACCACAGGGCCAGGCTCACGTCACAGTGAGGATCTCAGCCTCTCCAACGGTCCAACAAAGTGCCAAACGATGGTGTCTCTGTGTCAGTTAATGCTTTACGTAGGAGTTGAGTTCTTCTGCGCTAGGTGGGTGTACACGGCCAGGGAGGGGCCGCAAGCCCTCTGTCTCGTTTACCATGCCGCAGCGCCAGGAAGAACTCATTAGATTGTCTGTAAAATATTTTTTTTGTAGTCTTGGGTTTTTCAATTTGATGGAAAATATCCTGACTGCAAGCATGGCTCATAGAGGTGATTGATGTCAAGGGTGATGCATGGTAACCGGAGTGAGTTTTTTTTTTTTAATAATAGTAATAATAATAATAATGATAATAATATTCCTACCCAGAGAAAAATGGCTTTCAAGGGGCCAAGGGAAGTTCATTTGATAATTAGGACAGTGGTCTGCTCTGTGATGTCATCTTAATTGGAACCAGTTAAGAGATTCTTCTGAATTCACCTGTTAGCACAGACCGGTACACGTTTGCAGGTATCTTTTACATGAAAAAATACTTGAAATTAGTAGGATTAAATAAGCGTGCTGAACTTTTGTGGATGACATTTGTGGGAGTTTTCGGTGCTTATGCTACCCTCAGCCTTAGGCCCAATATCTGAACGCTTAACGAGTTTGGTACAAAAACCCATCTGTTCTGCTAGGGTAGGTTTGCACTGTGAAGTCCGACACTCTCCTTTTTCAAGTAATTTCCTCAAAAAGACACTTTTAATGACGAAATGTATGATTAGAGAGAGAAAAGGACCGACGGAACCACAGACTCTAGTTAACTGTAGAATCAAAATATTATATCTGTAGGGAAAGGAGAGAAAGCTGCATGTTGTGCAGAAGATGTGTGAGAGAGGGCGGCGTCGCTCCCTCTCTTCAGAGGGGATGTCTTAAAGGGCCACAGGCACACACTGACCACCTTAGCATTGCTAGGTGACCAGGGTAAATGGTGTCTCCGGTCCTGTTCTGCTTCCACTTAGACCATGCACTCCAGCAGAAGAACATACTATTTGTATGTGTCTGGTTGGGTTCTGGTCCATCCCTCCTGTTTTTTGTCTTTCGTTCCCTGCTCTGCTCTAGCCTGGCACTTAACTGCTCTTGATTCCTCAGTGGCTGTGCTGAGATCAGCAGAATTCCTCAGTTTTTTTTTTTTTGTTTTTTTTTTTAAAACATTTTTATGTTACAGTGTTTCTTAAATATAAAGCAGGCCTTTCCTGTTAAATGATCATCTAGCGAAGGAGCTGATTTAAGTACTGTATGGAGATCTTTGTTCGACATGAAAGCGTTGCATGGATTGAGAAAAACTGTTACTGTTTTGCCGTTGTGTGGTCCTGAACTTGAAAAACATAAATGCTTCCGTTCCAATGTGGTTAAAAGGCTACACAATGAGAAAGGAGAATATTTCCCCTTTTCGCTGCGTCTTCATGTCTGGTATCGTCACTGTTGGAATACTTTCTTCCAAATGAGACTTCAGTTCACGTCTTTCACTTTGGACACATAGACCGTGGGGCGATTTCCATTTCGACAAAGTGAAAATGGGGAATATTAACGTCAAATGTTTGAGATTCCGCGGCGCGGGATTTGATTTTCAAAAAACCGTGCCGTTCCTGACGTTCCGCCCGGGATGGCAGGCGTCAATCGTGACGGATGGCAATTCACAGACTTTTCAGTTCTCGGATTATGTTTTTTGCTGTCACTGCTCAAAAGGCACGCAAACAAAAAAAGGATAAACACCAGATGAATGAAAGAGATGTTTCATTTCGCACTTTTTAATTCTGTATTGTCGTCTGCGAAAAAAAATCCCAAGAAAGAAATTCCTATCACACAGAGCAGAATCCTTCTGTTTTCTCACTCATTGTAGACACTGGAGTTCTCTATTATAGTAAATGAAAATAATAATGACAACAACGATAATAATAATGGCTGTCTGTTCTTGTTGTTTTATAAAAGTGTTGTGAAAATTGTAAGAGAGTTAAAGTATTTAAAAAAAGTTGTTCTTGTTTTTTATTTTTTTGGTTTTGTTATAATATTATTGTGTACCTATTGTAAATATGAAGCACACCTATTTTGCAAGCCAAGGATTCACTTTGTACTGTTGTTATATATAAATAAACTTTACTGGTTAAAAAAAACAATGCTTGGAGTTCCAGAATGGGTAGGTAAATGATTTCATGCTTCACTAAGAGATGCCTTCTTTATTTGGTATAATTGTTAACAGGGACACTAATTACTTGTTCATTACTGTGACGGAAAAGCAGGAAATGCCTTTCTTAGTTCAGTAACTATTACAAAATGAACTCAACCCATGGATGGAAATTCTGCTGGTTTGGGATCAGTTACCAGTCTATAACTGTAGCCACCAAGTTGCGTTGATATCAAAATAATGACTGTAATTTGGGTGCTTGTTCACATTTAAGGGTTTCAAGAGGCTAAAGTCAGGGTCCGTGGACAGGCAGACATGACACGCTATGAAGTGTCGGTGAATAGTACAGACCGGGCTCCAAGCAACTGTCGAACTCCCAAAGGATGACTATTTCCAGGAAAGTAGCTCAAGCAAATGGGCTATCAGTGGAAATAGCTGAGCTAACCTGACCGTATCCCTGCCCTTGCCCAGGGTGGAGCAGCCTCGCTTAGCCACCGTCGGCAGGAGGCGGCTGTTTATCATGGCTAATCCTGGTCGATCTCAGGAGACGCTTTTTAAAGCCCCGTCATCGACACGCACCCGTATTTGGGGCCCCGCGGTAATAAGATAACCGATGTGGCTAATATCCGAAAGTGCTGCCATCCATCTTGGCGCGGGAACGTCCGCCGTGCTTTCCCATGCTAATCTTGTCGACCGCATTAGCATATCGGCTGGCTAATGGGCACGCCGGCGCGGAGAACCGGGCCCCTGGAGCTGTGCTTACAGGTCAAGGGCAACCACCGCTTTTTTTTTGGCTGACTTCTTGTTACCAATTAGGATAATTGAAATCTATTTCAGTATTTAGATGATTTAGCTGTCCTATAAACCTAAAAATGTGCGTGCTCGCGTGCCACCTTTATCGTGTCGTAAAACTCGATTTTAGCCATTTAGCACGAAAAGTACAAATGCCAAAAATATTACACTTTCCGAAAAAAACAGATCTGTAAATGATAGTATGACAGGAAAGTGCTGCATTCTGATTGGATAAAGTATGTTGGAAAATGATCAATCAATCGGCAGGATGGATTTTATGATGATTACAAAACCGGCAGGCTGGATAGAACTGTTTCCTGGGCTGGTATTTTGAGACCCCTGCCTTGGACTTTAAAACTTCCCATTATTGATATTAAAATAGGGCCTCTAATGACTGTGTGCTCCATCCTGAAAGCCTCCTAGATCACCACCTTCTGTCTGTCAGAACGACCTCTCCCTGGGTCTCTGCCATAGGCCGAAATGGGGCTGGTAAGTAATTATGCAGTAATCCGTCTATGCTCTTGCTGAACTTTATGGTCCAGCTAGTGTCATATATCACAGCAGGTCTCCAGCGAAAAAAAAAAAGCTCACAGGGACATTTACATCCCGTATTAATTGTAACCCATTACCTTGGCCTAATTAGTTCAATTTGTAGTCAATCATGTAGCGTAGGTTCCGGATGGTGCAGAACTTTGAAAGTAAGAAGATCTGAAAATCGTTTCATCAGGTATGAAGCGGAGAGCTTCTATTTGAAGATGTACGCTCTCTATTTTTCTGTAAGATTAATGCTTGTTGCATATGTTTAAATATTTACAGTTTTTATGGAAAAAACAGTAGGTTCAGCTCTGACTGAGCAGGCATCCTTCCTCAAAAATGAACGTATAATGTAAACAGGGGCAGAACAATAAGTTCTGTTCACACATAAACAAGTTTGCATGGCAGATACATCCATCCACCAGAACCACTTATCAAATACAGGGTTGCTGTGCGCCTGGATCTGGTCCTAAGAAACTACGAGAGGGGGGAGGCCAGTCAGTCTCAGGACATACTATCAGTCACACACACACACACACACACACACCTTTGTGGGGACTCTCCATTCATTTCTATGGGGAAAACTCTAAGCCCAACCCATATTGAGTCCTAACCTTAACCATAAGTCACCAAACCAAATTAGACGATCTTGGCATTTCTAGTTTTATGATTGCTTTCACAGATCTTCGTGGGAACCTGGAAAATGGTCCCCACAATGTAATATAAACATAATCCACACATACACACAGGAGCATTTTTCAGGAAGGTTAGGGCCTTGCTCAACGGGCGTGTGGCTATTCTGCCTAGAAGCAGATTCCAACCGGCACCCTTTCGATCACAAGCATGGCGGCCTAACCCACCGAGCCACAAACAGACAATGGCGGTTCTGCCGAAACCGGTCTGTGGAAGGTGGGAAAAACCCAGAGCACACATGGATAGGGAGCGCATGCAAACGTCAAACCGCAAACTGGCAGCAGCTACCAATGTGTGCGAGGTGTGAGGCGTGAGGCGCGGCCACCCGCTGATGCACCGTGTCACCGCGGGTTACCAAGATAACGATGCTAATGCTCTTGATTACAGGTTCTATTTATACTCGCAGCTCAGCACCGAAGAAAAATGCAGTGATTGCTGTGTATAAGCCCCAGTCAGTATAGGTACAGAATAGGCCTTGGAGCCTATTCCAGTAGAGGTTCACTGTAGATGGGGTGCCAGTCCAAAGCAGTGCACATAAATGTACACACTACAGGGAACTTAAAGACACCAATTAACCTAGCTGCAGGTTCTCGGACGGCTGGATGTAACCTACATATCATGCGAAAGCTGCATTCATAACCCCAACCATGGAGCCACCAGAGGTACTTGATTGCCTGAATAAAAAATTGTTAATTGAGTAATAAACTGATCTGATTCCTGTACTATAATCAGCCTCAGTATATCATTATATCATGATGCAGTCCTTGGTATGCCCTTAGGGAAAGTCAAGTTTGTGTTTAAATGTGGATCCAGGTTAATGTTCGTGGTGAGCAGACTGTCCTCCTGTGCACCTATGTCAAATATCTCCTTGAGAGTCCATGAGAGTACCCAGAAACCCCCCATCCTGCCTCGGCCCAACACAAACATTAATAGAGTGACTGTGCTAACATAGAACATATTTTTCACGTGCATATTCCCTAAACATCTTTTGAACATGCCCCATCCATCCAGTGTACCTGCACCAGTCATCTAGTGTACCTGCCCCATCCATCTGGTGTACCTGCACCAATCATCTGGTGTACCTGCACCAATCATCCAGTGTACCTGCCCCATCCATCTGGTGTACCTGCACCAATCATCCAGTGTACCTGCCCCATCCATCTGGTGTACCTGCACCAATCATCCAGTGTACCTGCCCCGTTCATCTGGTGTACCTGCACCAATCATCCAGTGTACCTGCCCCGTCCATCTGGTGTACCTGCACCAATCATTCAGTGTACCTGCCCCGTCCATCTGGTGTATCTGCACCAATCATCCAGTGTACCTGCCCCATCCATCTGGTGTACCTGCACCAGTCATCTGGTGTACCTGCACCAATCATCCAGTGTACCTGCTCCATCCATCTGGTGTACCTGCACCAGTCATCTGGTGTACCTGCACCAATCATCCAGTGTACCTGCTCCATCCATCTGGTGTACCTGCACCAATCATCTGGTGTACCTGTCCCATCCATCCAGGGTACCTGCATCAGTCATCTGGTGTACCTGCCCCATCCATCCAGGAGACGTAGCCAGTGCCCTGATGGGCTGCCCACACATGCAAAAGACCCTCCATCCCCATGGTTAACAGCCTCCCCCAGGCTCTCAGACCCCCTACATGTCAAGTAGGACCCCCAGTGGCAACAACCTCTCTGATGGGGTAATTTTCTCTACTCCACCTCCTGTGGTCCCCCACCACTGCTGTTATCTGCTCCATCACCTCCATCCTGGTTACTGCTGGGGGAGACACATGGTCAGCTCTTTAGGCTCAACCCTTCCTTGACATGCATGATCCCTGGCTTGTGATTACGCGTGCCAAGCCTAGACAGGGGCAATTCTATGATTTTTTTAAGGTGTGGTGGGGAATATGAAGGGTCATAATTCATACAGAGGGAGCAACCTTATCATTAGCCAATGGCATGTTTTATACAGGTGAGTGACAGCAGAGGGGGCACTCGGGGGCCGCTGTCCAAAGCCCAGGGCCACTTTTAGCTGCCCCTTAGTCAGGATTTACAACATAACCCATTTACCGTGCAGGCATTTCTCTGATGCCTAAGGTAAGGCCTGGCACACTATGGGCGCAGTCAGCCTGACTTGCTATGATGGAACAAAGGGCTATCAAACAACCTTTCAAGCTGCAGCTTCCCTACCGAATAAAAACGCACACTGTCAACCTACTTTCACCGGTGCAGCAAGTGACTGAAGCAAACTTGGCCGTCTTTACTGGGATAATCTTTAAAGGCTTTGTAGGATGGGCGATGGTGGCATTTAGCGACATTATGCTTTGGCATTGGGCCATCGTGGCAACCGAAAGTCTGGGCAGCTGTAGGATACCATGTGTCTCCCTGCTCCTCAGCCACCTGCGGGCCAAAACATGCCAACGCTGATGTGTCTTTCCACAGCACCAGTTAGGTGCAGGTGAGGGGGCGCTCTCCAAACTTGTCTGCCGAAACTCCATTTGCACCCCCCTTCCCCCAGGCTCAATCGGGGGCCAATCAGAACAGCTCCAGTCTCTGGGCTCCCACCCCTCATGGATGATAATCATTTCAGACTTGCATCATTCCTCATACCAACCCCCAAAAGTAAAAAAAAAAAATCCTTAGCCTGCACCTTCTTTCAAGACAACTAGGCCAAAAATGATCTGTTTCGGACAAACCGCATATTTCCCGGGAAAGGTCATTGGTATACGTTGCATCAGACAATAACAGATCTGGGCCTGGACCCCCAGAGGTGCTGAGACGCTGAGCAGGTGAGCTTCCAGTCAGGTGAGACTTCCCAGGTGATGAAATCCAGGAAGCCTGGCAGTAATACCTCAACTGGCGTGTTCATCAGAGCCGCTGTGGAAAGCCAGCGCTGTGGATTTTAATCCCGTGGGCCTCATTTTCTCCGTAGTGTCCCAGATTCTGTCAATACTCACACTAATGGA